CAGAGGGGCGGCGGCGCGAAGCATACCCTCCTCCCGACTCCCCTTTCTGGAGCCTCCCAAGTGCTGAGTGTTCTCCCCGTGCAACCTCAGAACGGGAGAAAGGACTCCGCCGTGGAGCCCTGCAGGCACCCTGGCGCCCAGCACACCTGCCAAGCTGACGGATGAGGGGAAAGATGATGACCAAGGGCACCTCGCCCGGCCGGGACGGGCACTTCGGCCCCGGAGCCTCCCTTCCGGAGCGACAGAGGCATCAGGCCTGGCCCGGCCTCGGCAGGAGGCGACCCAGGAGGGGAGGGCAGGCTGGAAGACCGAGCAGGATCTGAGGAAACGGGCAGTGCTTGCCCGGCATCGAGCCTCTCCTGGTCAGAGTCTCCTTTCAGGGATGGACAGCACCAGCTCGTCCACGCTCTGCAGGTCTCTGCAGGGGTCCTCGGCCACGGGCTGGCCCAAAGGAAGGAGCCCAGACAGAGGTGCAAAAGCTGGGAAGAAATCCCAAATCCCTGAGATTCTCGGCTCTGTGCTCAACAGTCATCACCTGGGGTCTGGCCTCAGCTGATCGACTGGTGGCTGAAGAGTCAGAGCTGACAAAGAGCTAGGCACTTAGTTGGCCATCCTTAAATGTCTGCAGAAGTGAGGACCTCCCTGGTGGTCCAGCGGTTAAGACTCCGCGCTTCCAGCGCAGGGGGCGCGGGTTCGATCCCTGGTCGGGGAACTAAGATCCCACATGCCGCGCAGCACGGCCAAAAAAAAAACTCTGCTGAAGTGAACAGCTGCAGAAGGCATGAGACCGTATCTACCAACGTGTATGTAAATATGCATCATGTGAATAAAGGAAAATGACTGGAGGAAGGATCGCGTGGCTAAAGTGGTCCTCCTGTGTGAGTTCTGCCCCCAGACGCGGTCATCCCCACGCTGGGATCTCTGCCGAGAGCAAGTGTTTACTCACCTCTGAGCCTTAAGCATAATGTTTGTCCCAGAGTGGAAGGATAATCAATGTCCGCCGGATTTTTGAAAAAAATCAGTGAATGATGTCATAGAGACAGAAAGAAGAGGGTGGTTGCCAGGGGCTGGGGGAGGGGGAAAGGGGGCTTTCGGCTTAAAAGGAACAGAGTTGCAGTTTGGGAAGATGACAAAGTTTTGGAGATTGATGGTGGCGACAGCTGCACAACAGTGTGAATGCACTTAAGGCCACCGAACTGCACACTTACAAATGGCTAAGATGGCACGTTTTATGGGATGTGTATTTTACCACAATTTAAAATTCAAAGAAAAACGTCAGTGGATGATATAATCAAATGAAACGACCCGCTGTCGGGGCTGTCAGAGCGTGGAGTCTTCGATTCAAAATGGCACAAATTCTCTGCAACTGTCCATCAGCAGCTGCGATCCATGTTCTCACACCCCAAAACCGGGCTGGACTGTGCCTCGATTTGACTATTAGAACGAGGCAGAGGGGATACTTTGGTTCCCAAGCCTCAGCCTCGGAAGACCCTGTCGGCTTCCACTCTTACCCGAGGGAACTCTTCCACCAACATGTAGTTCGTTGGACACATGTGGCCCGAACCGGACACAGCAGAGAGGGTACCCTAGAGCAATCAGCTCCCATCGGCCGTCAGATGACACGTGAGCGGTCCCCGGCGAGGCCCACAGAAGAACAGCCCGGCTGAGCCCTGCCCAGACCACTGGCCCCCAGAATCAGGAGCAAAGAAATGGCTGCTTCAAGCCGCGAAGGAATGAGGTGCCTGCCATGCATCAAAGACATCAAATGACAAAGAGTCTCCAGCCTTGCAGCTGGAGGTCAGGGCCACCCTGCCCTGGCTACCCCACCTCCTGCATGCAGCTCTCCAAAGAAGTTCTCATCCGTCTTTCAGTCCTAAGGAAGAGCATGACAATGCAGAGAGGTGGGCACTCGCGCTTCAGCTGGGGAGAGGCGAGTGGTGGAACTCCGACTCTTGATGACAGAGCAGGGGTAAGGCCCTCTGCTCTCTGGAACGCTCTCTATTTTGCCTCTACAAAGTTCTGACTTTAAATCACGTAAGTGTGATTTTGAGAGCTCAAATCAAAAGGTGAGGACACAGCCCACCTGTTCACGAAATAAGCTGGTTCTCTCATTGAAAGGGAACGTGAAATGAATTGGGAGATTAGGTTTGACATAAATACACCACCATGTGTAAAACAGATAGCTAGTGGGAACCTGCTGTATAGCACGGGAAGCTCAGCTCGTGCTCTGTGATGACCTAGATGAGTGGGATGGGGGGAGGGGCGCGGTGGGAGGGAGGTCCAAGAGGGAGGGGATACAGGTATACATACAGCTGACTCACTTCATTGTACAGCAGAAACTAACACAACACTGTAAAGTAACTATACTCCAACGGAAAAAAAAAATGAAACTGAGAACTCTGAGCCACAAAGACTATACCTTTTCCTAAAAAAAAAAAAGTTAATTAAAATGAGCAACACATATTGACTTAACTTTATCAAGCCTTCTCAATTTATGCAGGTTCCTAAGGGACCTGGATGGTGTCTGTGGACAGTTAACACCAGCACGAGTGCTGGACTGGGTCAGCACACCTTTTTCTGGAGACCTTTTCCCGGCACCTGTTCCCACAATGAGCCTCATTCTCAGCAGCCGCCCCAGGTGCTGCCCCATCCTTGCCACAGAATGTCATCTGCATCAAGGTAATAACAGATGAAACATCCCATCCCACAAAAACGGCTGACTCAGGAACATTTAACAAGGTAAATTCTTACGAGAGTAGATATCCTCATGGGGGGCACGATGGACTTAGGGCTGGGGGCATTTTAACTAATTCGACTTCTCTGTCTTCATCACTGAGACGTCATCAAACACAGGGCCCAGTCCAGTAACATCTGTGCTGCCTTCCCGAGGCTGTCCACTCCCCCCTGCAGACTGCCCATCTGCCGAGGATTACAGTAAGGCCCCTACATACGAACGAGTTGTATGTAGGTACCCAACTAACACAATGGGCTATCTAGTACTGTACTGTAACAGGTTTAAAATACCTTTCGCACAAATAACACATAAAAAACAAAATAATCTTACAGTACAGCCCCTTGAAAAGGACAGTAGTCCAGGACAACAGCTGGCGTCCAGGGGCTGGCATCGAGTGAACAGGCAAGAAGAGTTCCTGACTGAAGGAGGGAGAGGAGGTGGGAGACGGTAGAGCTAAAGGATCGCCAGCAATAGGAGACGGAGGAAGCTGCAGTTTCACTCACGCCTGACGTGGATGGAACGCACGTTCCCATCTTTGAAAGTCTGTAACTTGAAGGTTCGTATGTAGGGGACTTAACTGTAGTGCTTGTCAGTTACCCATCTGGGGAACCCATATAAAAGGAATATTGACGGCCCTGGCTGAACGTCACTGTGGCGAGGTCCCTTCTAGCCACCTCCAACTCCCTTTGCCCTGTCACTGGGTGGGTCTTGGAGCTCGGAAGCTACAATCCCAGGCTGCCCCTCACCCTCCCTGGCTGCCTCCCAGCCACCCTCGCTGGTTCAGCCACCCCTTAACCAGTGTCCAGATCCTGAAGGAGACTCCAATCCCAGGCACAACGTCGTCGCTCACCCTGCCCTCTGCGCAGACCCAGGTTATTAATCTGCCAGGGAAACAAAAAAAAAATCACGCACGCAGGATGCAGGTATTTGCATCTTTATTTTTAGGATGTTTAGGACCTGACGTTCTGGACCCCCGAAGGCAGGAGTCTGTGCTTGCAAGAGGAGCGTGGCCATCTGCATTAATGCCACGTATTCGCAAAAGCCACCTCTCAAATCTCACGTAAGGGTCCCCTCAACTTTCACAGGCTTTCTCATCCTAGGGCGGCTCGCGTCACTTGGGGCAATCAATCAGCTAACCAACCGCGCCGCCTGTGGCCAACGCCGCCAGCTGTCCTCATCCATCTGAGCCCTTGTCAAATCCTTCATTTTAAGACACAGACCCCCACCTGAGGGCCTCTCAGGTGGCTTGCAGAGCCCCCCCACTGCCGCATCCCGCTCTGACCTACAGCCCCCTGGATGCTGCTTCTACCGGGATGAGCAACTGTAGGGACAAGTGAAAAACCAAGAAATAAGCCCCTTCAAGTGTCAGGGCTTGAAAGCCCTGATCCAACCTCAAGCCTAAGCCCTACTGCAGGTACACAGCCGTCCTGGTCACCCCCATTAGGGAAAGGACCCTCCAACACACAGCAGAGAATGTTCTAGAATTCAGAGAATCCTGGTCTTTTTCCTTCTCTTCCTTGGGTTTGAAACACCTGCCTTTTGGTCATTTTGCGCTACTTATTAATGCACTTGTACCGGGACAACTAGGGAGAGTGGGGAAATGGATAAACCCCGTTAAGCTTGATACTCTTATGCAACTTTGGCAACAATAACACTAACAGCAATAAACGAATGACTGGGGACCAGCATCAGGGACCCAGGCTGGGTTGCACATCTGTATCCACTGGCTATTCCAGCTTCAAGGGGGCACCAAGGGCACTCTTCCCCTCCTCCCTTCTTCCCTCAGGACTCTGCCTTTGAGGTGACTCTTGCAGGCAGTTCTGATGCATCTGCAGCCTTGTCTCCACATCCACCCACCTTCCTGTCTTGGCTGCCCTTCGCATTTCACTTTAATAAAACCAGCTCTTAACCAACCCGTCCCCCCGCCAAGAAAAGCTTCCCTCAAAGCTTTGCCTCATGGAGCCCCCAACAAGGCACTGAGTGCTGGTGGGCAGAAGCATGAGCCGAGAAAGCCCCCCGAGGGGCTGCCCCTGCTTTCCCAGGACAGGGCCGCGGACCGTGCCCAGCGCGCCGACCGCCACGCTTCCAACCACCACCAAGCCCAACGCGGCGCAGGCCCCGCCCCTCCGCCTCTCCTCTCCCACCGGCAGGGGGCGCATCACCCGCAGCCCGCGGCCTTCCGAGCCCACCAAGGGCTGAACGGAAAATACCTAAGGACGCCACGCTTTTTAAGAAGACAAACAAATCTAAATTTAACCCAACTTACCCTCGTTTCCCAGGAGAAAGGGGCAGAGTGCTCATCTTGCCAAGTTATGTCCTGAAATAAAAATTCAAGAATAAATCTGAAATCCAAACCCAAAGGGACCCCGCGCAGACAACCACCACCCGAGGCCATGGGGGAACCAAACTTCAGCAAGAAGAATCCCAAGTGCTGGCTCAAAACGAGCCTGAAGCTGTCGCGCTCTGCAGAGAATGTGCTGACCTTCTCGGTCTGGCTTCCCCGTCACCTTGCTGGCCGCGGCTGCCAGGCACGCCCGTCCCCTGCCAAACAGACATTCGATGAATGCCTGGGAGCCCCAGGACGGACTCGATGACAGGGAGACCGAGGAGAAAGGAAACAGGGCTTCCGGGCTCAGCTCTCGGCCCTGCCAGCGACTAGCCACACGGCCAGGGGAAGATGACTTAGCCTTTTGAGCCTCAGTTTCCTCATCTGTGAAAGGAGAACTGCGCTTCCCCTGCCGGGTTGTTGTGAGGATAAAATGAGGTAACAGAGGAAAAGGAGGTCGGGTGATTATCTGCCAGTCAACACCTGTACTGTCTGAGCATCGCCCCCCCCCACCCCCCTAAGTGCCTGCCAGAGATCTGAAAGCCTATCAGAGATCTGAAAGCCTTCACAGCCTATCAGTGAAGAAAATGCCAACTGAATGCAACTGCCTAATTATAGCGAAAACTCTGAAATCCTTCAGACCCTCACAAGCGGAACAGGAGAGAAGGAGCCCTTCGAACAGTCACTGAGAGTCTGACCTTGGATCCACTGACCTGAACAAAGGTTTGTAAGATCGCCTTTCCTAGGCCACCCCTCCAACTCTCCAGCTGTATTCCTATACTAGCAAATATCTCACGTGTGCCCAGCTTCTGCTGAGGAATCATATTTTCTGAACCAAAAACTGGGACATCCTGGGCGATACAGACTGAAAATGGGATAAAATAGTTTGAACTGAGACTGTCCTTGCATAAAGCACCCCAGGTACATGATGTCTTCGCGTAAAGCACCCCAGGTACATGATGTCTTCGCGCCCAGAGGCATTCCCGAGCCCCAGAGCTAGGTTACCTGGTTCCCCTCCCCTTCCTGGAGTTCTGCAGAGGGTCCACTTCCTTCAGTACCGACTCCATCCCCAGCCTTGGCCTCTAAGCTATGTCTCCTATTCCCTCCTGGCTGTCAGGCAAAACTTTAAAAATGAGAGGGAACGTGGGCCACTACGCTCCCACTGGGAATCTCAGTTAAGTCCAAGTGTACTCCTCAACTTACAACCTGTGTCCCTCCAAAAGTAGAAATGTGAGTTAACAAGTCTCGGCTGAGGGGGCTCCTGCATCTAGGTCTCTGTGTGTGTGGTCAGGGCGTGGGAGAACAGCACAGTTGAGCTCAATGACCTGAAAGTCCTTAAAATTTTGTGATCTCAGGACCCTCTAAGTTCCTCTTAGAAGCAATAAAACAAGAAGGACTTTGTTTTCACATGGGAAAAATAAAGGAGGCTGATGGAATGTATGTTCCCTTTGTTGTAGATTTGGACCTGTGGAAAAGGGCAAAGGGAAACCAACTGGTAAATGTGCTCCCTCTATGGGGAGGTGGGCGGGGGGGACAAGCCCAGTGGCCACCTCAGGGGACAGAGGAGGCGTGTGGAGATTCAGTGGGCGGGCAGAGGCAGAGAAGGGGACAGGACCACTGGCCAAAAGCAGGACACACCGGAGCTGGACACCCTTTCTCATGTGATATGATCGATCCTCTGAATGTTAATTATGCAGCTTGAGTCCCTTTGAAATCTGCAAAGAACACAGTAAGAAGGTTTTTGGCTTTGGAAGATGAATGAGTGCAAGACTGAGGAACAAAGATGTAGCCTGGAGCTTGGTGAGCCAGCAGGCTCCAGTGGCTGCAGCCCAGACAGGCTGAAATTCCAAGGGGGCTGCAGACAGAGGGGTGCACTGTGATTTCTCCGCAACTTGGTGCCAAGTCAATAATCTTTTGTTTGCTCCAGCAAGAAACGGAGTCAAGGGGCAAATTCCTTAGATTTCTGCAATTCTGAGCTCATAAAAAAAAAATAATAAAGCACTTAACAAAAATAAACATGCCAAACAAAAATGTGATTGAAGCTCTGATGTCAGCCACTGGCTGCACACTCTAGCCACAAAGAGCGTTGGGGGCAAGCACAGGCTTTCCAGGCAGTTGGATGCAAAACGGCATCAGGATTGCAAAGTTCTAGAAATGGATAGTGGTGATGGCTGTACAACACTGTGAATGTACTAACTGTACACCTAAAAATGGTTAGCACGGTCAATTTTATGTTATGAATATTGTACCACAATAAAAAAATCTGAAAAGGCTATATATATTATATGATTCCAACTATATGACATCCTGGAACAGGTAAAACTATGGAGACAATAAAAAGATCAGTGGCTGCCAGGGTTGAACAGAAGAAGGGCTGAGTAGGCAGAGCACAGAGGATTCTCAGGACAGTGAAATACTCTGTACCATGCGGTAATGATGGATGCTTTTCTCAAAACCCACAGAATGTACCACAGCAAGAGTAACCCCAGTGGAAACCATGGACGTTGGGCAACAATGCTGTGTAGGTTCATCCATTGTAACAAATCTTCCACTCTGGTGGGCGTGTTGATAGTAGCAGAGGGTGCACACGTGTGACAGTAGGCGGTAGGTCAGAAATCTGTACTTTCTACTCACTTTTGCTGGGAACCTAAGACTGCTCCAAAAATTAAAATCTATTCTTCAAAAAAGTGTCCCCTCCCCCTGCAAAAAAAAACCTGACAAAGGTAACAAATGCTAAAAACATCATTTCCTAATTACTTTAGTCCCTCTTGCTGTTATTTGTGCCCTTGAGGTTACTTACATCTGTTGCCCCTGCAAGATAGAAAGTGCATCTATAACACCACACAACGGGGTGACTGCACCTCCCTGACCGGCTCTGATGCAGTGAGCTACCTGGGGGCTTGGACAGCCCCTGGGGGAGCATCTCCATGGCAACCAGCACGTGCTCCACATCAGGGCTGCTGCCCTCACTGCCCTGGAGCCAGATGTTAAACATTCCCGAACACACCACAAGCTGCAACCAATATCAGACACACCGAAATTCACTACATTCTACACTAAATGTAACTGCTACTCTTAAATTTTTTAAGGATTTTGGTAATTTTGCTTTGGAAATTATTTGGTGACAAGTAACTCATCTATAATTGGTTGATTCCTCTGTAAAAGTCAGGACTGTTCCAAAATTATTCTAAAATGAAAAATTCTGGACTTAGAATTCATTTCAAACGTGAAATGTTATAAATATTAGCCTTTCCTCTTCATGAAGTTGGAGACTAATGGGACATTTATTCTTTTATAACTTTCTTTCCAATTTTGGGGCCTGTGAATTTCATCATGTCTCAAGCGTGTGAGGTGGACAGCATCTGTAAGTGGCACTGTCCACAGCGGGTGTCCCTTAGTGTGGCCATAGGTCAGCCTGAGCAAGTGGGGCAAGGAGCACGGGCGTCACAGAGCAGCTCTGAGCTCCCCCTACACAAAGCCAGGCCGCTAGCAGCCCGCAGACGGGCAGCGGCACCTTTCCTGCAACAGTCAAAAAAAAGAACCGCTTCTGAGACCCCTGCAGTGCTCTGAAAGTCTCGCTTCCACTCTGGGCCTCTCTGAGGGACAGGCTAGGGACCATTCTGCAACTTGAACAAACTGCACCTTCCTGCAGATGCCCTCTCTCTGGCATACCTGCCCCAGGTAGCCAGAGGGGATGACCATCTCCTGGGTCCTTACTGGTCTTGGGTCCACGCTGGCGCCATTCACAGGCACCAGACTCAAGACTCTCTGAAGAGCATCCCTAGCCTAGAGGTTCTAGGTCTGGCTGTAAATCAGAATCACCTAGGGACTTTCCTGGTGGCGCAGTGGTTAAGAAGCCGCCTGCCAATGCAGGGAACGCGGGTTTGAGCCCTGGTCCGGGAAGATCCCACATGCTGCGGAGCAACTAAGCCCGTGCGCCACAACTACTGAGCCTGTGCTCTAGAGCCCGCGAGCCACAACTACTGAGTCCGTGTGCCACAACTACTGAGGCACGCATGCCTAGAGCCCGTGCTCCGCAACAAGAGGAAACCACCGCAGGGAGAAGCCCGTGCACCACAACGAAGAGTAGCCCCCGCTCGCTGCAACCAGAGAAAGCCTGTGCACAGCAACAAAGACCCAACGCAGCCAAAAATAAATTAATTAATTAAAAAAAAAAAAGATTTCACCAAATGAATTAACAAGTTCATTTAGAAGGACAAGACACCCACATTAAAAAAAAAAAAAAAGAATCATCTAGAGTGCTGTTTTAATAGGCAGAATCTGTGGGTCCCACCTGACTTAGTTTTAGAAAACCAACAACTCCCTAGGTAATTCTAATGCAGCCATTCCCCTTGGGCAGCTTACCTACTTCAGTCCTCCACAGGACACCTGACTGCCTCTTCACACTGGGGACACTTGGCCACACAGGCTGCACTTGCTGACCTCCCAGGCTCAGGGACCCACCTCTATCTTCCCAGGCCACCCCACCTGCCAAGGTGGCCTCAATGAATACTGCTAGGTGACTCTCATCATCCCCAAATAAGGACTTCTACTAAACCAACCAGGGTTCAGGCTTCCATCACGAGGAGCCCAAGGATTTCTGGGCTGGCTCTCACCCACCCAACTTTGGAGCAGGCAGGATCACATTCTGCGCATCAATATAATCAACCAAGGCACACAAACAGTCTCCTAATACACAGCAAGGGCCCAGCAAATCACGTTTAAAGGCCGCTTTCATTTCATTCTTCCCAGAGTTCAAAGATTACATAAAACTACTGCAACAGCGTTTCTAATCATGCCCTTAGTATGTAACCATAAACAATAAACACTCTTAGGTGGTAGTCAGAATATGGTGCACTGTTTGTTAAATTTCTCCTGCCACCTAGAGGGCTGAGTCTCTAAGCGTTAGAATCCCAACCATTAAGCTCCCCAGAAATATATCTGATTTTTCTTGAGTGATTCGGAAACAGTGCTCACTGGAACCATATCCT